TATTCTGAACTACGAGACGGATTTCTTCGATCTCATCCGCAACGGGACAGTAAAGGTGCATATTGCCGACCTGATGAAGCTATCGCCAGGCACCGTCCACCTTTCCGACGGCTCTTCCCTGGCATCAGACGTTCTTTGTTGCGCAACCGGGTGGAAGCAATTCCAGCCTATAAAATTCCTGCCCGAAGGCATCGACAAGGAGCTCGGTCTCCCGCACAAGCCTTCTGCAGAAAGTTTCCCGCCCGCCGAGATGATTGAGACTATCGACAAGGAAATTTTCGAGAAATGGCCGCGTCTCAAGGATCAGCCTGTTCAGAACAAGAAGCTTAAGGCACTCGTCGAGAATGAAGGCATCTCGACCAAAGAGGCCGTCAACCCGTATACACCCCTCACGCCGTACGTGCTCCATCGCTTCATGGTACCGCCGTCGGCCAAGCTGCTGGCGCACCGCGACATTGCGTTCGCGGGCGTGTTGATGAATTTCACCGTGGCGATGATCTCTCACGTGCAATCACTATGGATCGACGCCTACTTCCATGACCAGATGCCCTCAGTGACTGAGGCCATAATAAGTGCTGAGACGATGGAAAAGCTGCGGTACGAGACTGCGCTTCACAGTCGGTTCTGCAAATGGAGGTACCCTGCCGGGCACGGGGACAAGTTCCCAGACTTTGTTTTTGATGCTGTGCCGTATATCGACCAGCTGGTGGGCGATCTGGGGTTAAAGGTGTACAGGAAGAATGGCGTGATTGCTGAGGCATCTGAACCATACGGCCCAGAGGACTACAAGAATCTTATTAGCGAATGGACAGAGAAGCAGGTTGATGGCTAATTAGATACCAACCACGCTCTCGATCCGCAAAACAAACCAATAATGTTTGATATCTACTTTGACTTCACTTTCGGATCTAAGTGCCGTTGAGGCTAGCCAATCACGGTAAAATTAGGCAGCAGCCTCACCGCCCTCGAAATGTCCAAATCCTGCGGCCCAATGCCTTATCGAATTAATACTTCAGCATCGACTCGGTGTTATCCTCCGGTGATTCTTTACAGTTGATTGATATCATTACTGAACCCCCTCCCCGGCATTGTGATAATGGAGGAAACACGGAGACCCGCAGTCTCAACCAGGAGGACGAGACAAACAGCGAGATTGGACGAAGCAGCGGCCGCCTCTTCGGGACTATCCCAAACTACAAACAACAATCTTAACTCTATCATCATGGAACCTGAATACAGTACGACAGGCTTGTCGGTGGAAGGCCTGCATATTCTTCCAGAAGTCCTCCACGCCGGCCTCAAACTCAAAGACTTAGGGAAGAAAAGCATTCAGCTGCTCTTAAAGAAGCGTCAACTACTAAAAGACACACCACTTGATATCCCAGAAGACATGGAAAGAAAAGGACTAGCCTCATCAGTCATGGCAACTCTGGTCTTTGCCCAGGAAGAAGCAGGCACAGCAGTCTGTATCTCACCCAACGGCATTCTCCTCACTTGCTCCCACTGCATCGCCGAGACCGTTGACGATTTTGACGATTCCAAAAGCCACTGGCTTCTCTTTGCTTCAGGCCAAGTAGTCGAAGCCAAAGCACTAGCATGGGATGACAAGAGAGACCTGGCCCTGTTGAAAATCACCTCAGCCCAACAACCTCCGCCACCTTCGGGACCGACATCATCATCATCATCACCGCACTCAGGGAGTTTCTCCTTTGTAACACTCTCCCCCTCACCGCCCGCCTTGAAGGCCCGACTCATCTGCGTCGGCCACCCGGGCAGCGAGGACTTCGAGGCGGCTGTCCCGGGAACAAAGACGGACTACAACGTCCTCCACCTCAGCACCGGCACGTTCAGGGGCTGCGCCGAGGGCCAGGACCCGCAGGATAATTCGGAGATCGGGGCGCTAATGCATTCTTGCTGGACGTACTGGGGTCACAGCGGCGCGCCGCTGGTCGACAGGAAGACGGGGACGCTCGTTGGGCTTCATTCATCATGGGATGATGAGACGGGGATGCGGAGGGGAGTTGCTTGGGAGGCTATATCCGGGTTTCTGGGGGAGAATAAGCGTTATTTGTGATCTTTGGGTACCAAGTCTTCTGGCCATGTAGGTGCTTCTCTTCTCATGGGGTATGGTGTATATTTCAACACAGATATATCGTACATCAGCTGGGTGCTCTATTCTTCGTAGATACGCAATACAACATGAGGGTAAAGGTAGGAAGGTCGTTCTTGCCTCTTTACCTTATAGCGTACCTGCCTCCCTTTTCCGGTTCTTCCATTGTTGGCTCCTTCGTCATCTGAAGGCTGCTTTCTTCCATCACATACATATCCTTTCCTCACAGTTGAATACCCAAAAAACCTCGAGCCTTTATACCCTTCCACCCAGATGTTGTTCTTTTCATGGTCACCAAAACCCACCCACACGCTCACATCCGTCCATTGATTGCATGCAAGGCTTCTAGCTTCAACAAACCCATATAATCCATTCGAATACTCTCGAACACTCTGCTTAAACACCAATAATCGAATCCCTCTCCTCCTGTGTTTGCTCAAAGAATCAGAGTTCTTCTCATCAAAAGCTGTGAGTTCTTGTGCTAGTCCTCCTAGTTAATCACACCGATCCTCTAACATATATCTCTAGACAATACCCTTGGTTCCAACGCATTCAATGTACGGTACCCACGTCTGCGCTTCCCATTGATAACTTCGATATCATCGGGCAGCACCGTCTCTATGCTCACGATTCTCACGATTCTCACGATTCTCACGATTCTCACGATTCTCACGATTCTCACGATTCTCACGATTCTCACGATTCTCACGAATTCAAAGTTCAACCTCAGGTTCCTCCCGCCTTCCACTGCTCGAATTACCGGCTGCCCGTCCGCCTCCTACCCTCTGCTCCAACGATGCCTAACCTCTGGCAGGGCGAAGGCCCTTACCTTCCCTCCTTCAACACTCCCACAACGACTACAATCTCAACTCCAACAAGCCTCTTCTCATCGTCAACAACATCCATCGCAACCGCAGCAATGCCTACCACCACCGAGGAAGTCGAAGCTCTCCGCGCTTGGGTCCTCTCCACATCGGGCAACTGGCTGTTGAACATCGCCAAGGCCCTCGCTCTCTCCATCCCCCTGGGAATCCTCATGTCCGCCATGTGCTGCTGCTGGATCCCTTGCCTTTGGTACACCGACCACCTCACCGACGACTTCCTCGACATCAGTGTCTGGACCGGTCGCCTCCTCCGCGGCGAGTACGGCCCCCGCGGTGGCTGGATCCCCTTCATCCGCCGCCGCGTCAGAATGTTCTTCATGGGTCGCGAGGAGCGCGCTGAGGCCCAGCGCCGCGAGGCGCAGGAGGCCATTGATCGCGTCGTCGGCGAGCTTCGCGGCCGCGACGGCCATGTCGTTCGTGTCGGATACCAGCAGGAGCCTGCCATGACGACTGGCCTCCCCCCTCAGAACCGCAACATGCGTCGCCAAATGGCGCGTCAGCAGGCTCGTGCGAACCGTACGGCCAATAATAACAACTAAGCAATGCTCAAATCCCTCCTGGTCGAACTTCACGAGTTACCGTTTCGAATCCTGTTCCAAACGTCCAGCACTTGCGGGAAAAAAAAATCAAATTTGGTAAGACAGCCGTTCCTTCCTCTTCCTTCCTTCTCGCCAATCTCACGATGAGACCAAAAAAAGCTTGACTAATATCGAGCATAGGTAGCTACTGCTCCTCCTGAAACGACCACGAACAAGAGGCATACAAAGTTGTATTCCGCGACACGGAAACTGGAGGGTATCTGACTAGGAGGACAGAGCGATGCTGGGTGCGCTTGGTTAAGTGCATACGCGCATAGGCTGGAAACGATACGATTGGCGACGAGCCAGGCTGCTGCCACATCCTATCCGAGAGAGTGTGGAAGGAGAGAATAGGGGCAGACAGGTTCCTGATATGACTGGGGATCGTTGGAGATCTGGAAGCATGCCCATTACTGAGACTTGCGAGCGAGATGAGTGGACCATTGGCATTCCGAGCGATAGTTACGACCTCCAAAAGACCCGTTCTTGCATTGATCAATTTGTACCCTGCTTGTGACTTTGACTAGTTTTCACTCTGTCGTGTCCCCTTTCTGTGCCACAAGGTTAGCCAGCCGATGCAAGCCCAAGGCACTCGTTCATTTGGCCTACCTTGAAACTGAGTGTTGTCAAAACAAGACCGAAACACCACACCTCTCACTGTCAAACTATAACGAAGAAGGAGCACCAGGGTGAAGTCAGATATCTGCATCTCATTTTGACGCCTCCGCAGAGAACCGGCCAAGTCTATCTCAAGATAAAACCTTCCAGCTGTTCTTCGCCGAGATGGTGGGTAGTATGTACAGTCCAGAAGTTTTCCTACACACAGGAGGCGTCAAACGCGCCAGCCGACTCAAAGATTGGATCCTGCAAAAGAAAAGCGATCCTCTTCTTCGACTTTTTCTCTTCCGTCTCTCCGGGGCCGGTCGTTGAGTGGGTTCTCTTTCAAGCACACGCCGGCCCTTCCTCCAAAAATGACGCGTCTCCAAATTGAACAATCCCCGGTTGAGGGGTGGTATCATTTCCTGACTGAAGCGAAGTGCAAAAATTAGGAAATCACAAGTGTGTGTGTGTGTGTGTGTGTGTGTAAATGGCGTTTGGCCATGGAATTATTGCCTGTTGATAATAGAAGGCGTGAGAGTACGTGTGAAGTGGGTAGCGAATGAGTTACTTCCGTTTCGGACGCTTATTGCTCTCGCTTGGTATTGGGTGTATGTTGTTGTGTTGGAGCTGTGAAGGCAGGCAATGAACCATGCGAGCGAGTTGAGGTCGATGGTAAGAAGGTATGTTGACAAAAAGGAAAGGCGGTTGGCGTGTTGGTAATGGGTACTTGAGAAGAGTCAAAAAGAGTTTGGGGTATAATAGAAAAGGGTGGGCAAAAGTATGTCCCAAGGTTTGATAAAGTAATGTAGGTAGGTATCGCCATTGTGTTTACTGCCCGAAGGAACTGTGGCTTTGATGCGCGTCTCGAAGAACTAAATATCTATTAGCATGAATGTGGAAAATCTGGCGACCATGCCTTGACTTACTGTGCAGCACATTCATCTGGCCGGCGCGATCTTCGCACGCAACCTGCAAGCCGGAGCCTTCGACCAAGTCAAGGCAAATGCTGTTAGGCAGCTCCTGAATTTCCATGTCGGGGATGTAGGGCACCCGGAAGTCCGAGAGATGGTATCTCTTGACACCGGCACCTGTAGGCTGCTTGTTCTTGGCGGCGTTGCCAGCGGCGACGGCGCTCAAGATCAAGAACCCTTGGGAGTCCAGGCACATGCTGCGACGCTTCCATAGCAAGTTGTCTGGAAATTGGACATTGACATCTCCCATGAAAGCTTCGATGGTAGGCTGCTGGAGGCGGGCCACCTCTGATGCGTCCTCCTCCTGAACTGTAGGAGAGATGGCAGTCGGGGTCATGGTCTTACCACGCCCAGCACTGCTCAGGGATGACGAGAGGCGACGCATGAACCGACCCGCGCGACCCTTCTTCTTGTCGCTAGCAGTGGATTTGCTATCGTCGCCAGAGCCGCTGCCCTCAGTAAACATGGACGGAGACATGGCACCGCTCAAATCGTTCTCCTTGCTAATGGAAGATCGACGACTGCTGATCGATAGACGGCGGCTGTGACCACCAGAATTCGCGTGAGTAGAAGGGGGTCTTGAGGGAGACTTTGAGCCAGGAGACATGGGGAGAGGAGCGGTCAACGCCTCTGTGGAGGGAGAAGTGAGTGACTTGCGGCGGTCCTTGATGAAGTCCTTCATGATGCTGAGAGACGAGCGCCTCGGAGCTTCTTCGACATCCTCCTTTGGGTCAATGGACTGAGAGCGGCGCTTCTCCTTTGACAGTCTTCGCTCTTGGATAGTCTCCTTGGAGGGCTCCACTGTGGCCAGATTGGCTGGCGGGAGCGGGAGCTCAGCCTTCTGATGATCGACAACTAAAGGCGACACCTTAAGATCGAGTCGTTCGAACTCGGAGGGGTTTTTGGGCGGCTCCGGCGCCTTACCAGCCTGGCTGGGGTCGCGAATGATTCGCGCCGTAACGGAGATGGATTCTGGGCGGCCCCTGGGCGGATTGCTGCCAGGCATCTCAAACATTGAGAGCCTGTTTGCCATGGACCCCGATCTACCCCGGCCTGCAGTCTCCGGAGATGACTCTACAGACTCGGCCATAATAGGGGGGACAGGACTGGCGCCACGTGTCGAAGGCCTCGTCCTGTCGACAACCGAAGGGGAACGAGATGGCGGATCCCGGACGCTTCCCCTCTTAACGGCGAAGAATGCTGAGGATGGCCTCGGAGCCTTCAGACTACTTGTGTCCGCTTCGACAACACCGGGTGCATGGGCAGACAGCTTTTCCAGAGCCTTGATACGTTGGGAGATGCTAGATCCAATCTTGTTAGGCTGGTTTGGCTTCAAGTGATTGTTGCCCTGTTGCTGCGTAATCTTGTGCAGAAAGGCTGCGCCAGATGAGATTGATCTCTGGCTTTGGGCTTGAGCCACATCTGCAGCCGTGAGCCCCCGCACTGGGTTCGAAATGGTGCGAACGACTCCGCGCGACGTCGGCCTGCTAGCGTTCTGAATCGTCGGGCTGGGAAACACTGGGGTAATGGGCGATTTGGATACAGTTATATGCTGTGCTTGCTCAACTGTAGCAGAATGCAGCTCATCTAACAAGTCCTCATCGTCAGAGATGTTGTCGTTTGCGCGCTTCTCGAGTACTTCCAGATCGGTCCGGATCGGTTCAACGAGCGATCTTCGCTTGGACGCCTCCGAGGCTACCGGAGTCTCCTCAGCAACACTGTCGTTTTCCTCTTCAGCAGTGGGCAGTGGCTCTGTGAGTGCCTGTTCTTCAGGCGACACGATGGTGGGAACTTCGACAGTTGCAGCCGACCTGAGATCCTGGGTCGAGAACTTGGACCGAGGAACTCTGAGTCCAGGCGAGCGAGGAGATAGCGGCGATTTGGGTGATACTTCCGCCGGCAAAGAAACGGTGTCGCTGACATCCAGCGGGGTCGGCTTCGTCGATTCGACGGGAGCCTTTGGCTGAGTTGGGCTCGTGGAAAACTTGGAGATTGGTAAGCTAAAGGTGGGCGATTTGGGTTGTTGAGCCTCGACTGCTACCTTCTCAGTCTCAATTTGTGGTTCTATGGGCTGGGCGAGTCCAGTGGTTTCCGCTTGCTCGACATCAAGTCCTTGTGGTATGACAGCGAGGGTTTCCTCCTTGTCCTCGATCGAGTTCTCGTCGGCAGGTAGAGCTTCCTTGGGTGCGGAAACATCGACTGGGTTGGTTTCGGGGGGGTCGGTGACTACGTCTTGAATCGTGGGGGTGGATTCAGCCACCGGCTCGGTATCGTCCTGTTTCTCACTGGTATCGGCCTTGGGCTCGTTCGATTCAGGGGCCGTAGCCTCTTCAATAACATGAGCTTGCTCAACCTCCGCCTCCCGCTCGACTTGCTCGTGTGCCTCAACCATATCCATATCAGCATCAAGATTCTCTTCCTCGAGCTCCTTTACTGTCTCTTCGGTGGATTCGGAAAGTGATGACGCCTTCGTCGACTGGTCGGGTTCGGAAGATGCTATGATGGGCGATGCAGGATGAGAGTCACTCTGAGTGAACTCAGAGGCCACGTCGGTGTGGACAGACACTGACGATGTGTCAACGACAATGCCTGAATCTGCCTTGGAGACCGAAAGTCGTCTCTTACGTTCGTCGTCGTCATCTGCTTCGGCAGCTAGGGTCTCCTCGGTTATCTCCTCAATGTGTTCGACAGGCTGAGCCTTTTCCGAGGCGACCTCCTCAGCAGGGGCATCGATAACAGGGGCGGAGGCGGATTGTTGGTTCATTTTCTTCTTCTTCTCCCTCAGTTGCATGGCCTTCATTAGACGCGCCTTTTCAGGCGTCATGACCTGTTTGGCGGAAAGGGTGGTGAAGGACGGCATCGCGGATTTAATTGAAGCGCCCGAGCTCGTTGTGGGTCGTCCTGAGCTCGTGTGTGGCCTAACGGGTTCATCAACCTGGGAAATGGGATCCCCGTCGGGTAGGGGTATTGAAGTGGCGGCCAAGGAGATTTCGGTTGTTTCGTCGGGGTGGGCTGGTTCGGCAGGATCCAGAGTATTTTCCTTGGACTTTCCCTTTTTGGAACCCTTGGAAAATAGCTTGAAGCCAGAGGGCATCTGCGAAATTGGTCGGAAAGCAGCCCCCACAGCAGCAGTTCCGGTGCGAGCACGGCCGGCAACGTCGAGAGATGGTCGTGGGGCAAGTTTGACTCTGGGTTTGCCGTAGGTATAAGATGACGAAGAATAAAGCTCGGGTCGCAGGGACTGCGATGACATGCGACGTCCTTCGTCTACTGATTTCGAAGGTGAAGGTGGTCTGGCGCCAACAAATTCGGGCGGCTCCAATGATGTAGAAAACTTGCTCTCTTCTGGCGAATTGGCAAGGTCGGCATTCAACGTCACGGGCGGACCGTCAATTGGCGATTTCGGGGTTTCTGTCAAATCCTCTGTCGCGTCTTCAACCAGATTATCACCGGTGGACTTCCGCTTGCTTGCTCTCTGTTCTTCTTCTTCCTCTTCCGCAATCTCCATCAACCGTCTCCGTCTCAAAGAGCTGGTCGAGGACGAGGTTGATCCAGATGCAGCGTGCAAGGAGCAGGCGGCAGACAGCTTGGTGTCCTTGAGCTCCTTCGCGGAAGCTATCGAGAAATCGGTATTGTACGGCGCAAACCGCTCGCATACGGCATTGAAGTGGACAGTGACTCGCGCTACGATTGACAGCCAGAAGGCCCAGTCAGCTTCATCTCCCTCTGGAATGGGGAAAAGACCACAATAGTGCGCCACAGCCTAGAGACAAACCCACCTTGGACAAGTCGAGAACAATCTTCGGGAAGATATTTGATGATTACGTTCCGGCGTCGGTACCTCAGAAAGCCAAATAAGGGCGAGTGGTCTTCGTTGTCATTTTCGAATTGAGCGATGTTGTTCCGGATCTCTACAATGCCACCATTCCCGCGACCCAATAGTTCAACGTCATCGCGACTGGCATACTTGAGGAGAAACCTATATTACGCAATGGTTCATGACGTCGGTCAGCCTACGTGAATCTAGCAGCGCCTCAAAGGCCAGCAAAGAGACAAGGGAAATTTGCATGTTGAGATATAAGGGAAGCGGTGTACAGCCGGCGAGCTACTTCGAGCTGGCAAGCGGTGACGGGCACGGAGAAGAAGATGTTTCGGTCTTTCGCAGTGGGGATAAAAGGGAGGGATTCATACCATCCTCCTGGTTCAGCAACGGCAGCCTCATGGGCCTCCTTGACCTTGGGGTCGTCCAGGCCATTGAGCGACATCCTCCCTGTCGACTTGGCGAGCTACGAGGGTTTGCGGTCTTCGTCGTCGTTGTCCACGTCAGTGCTGGTGGTCGGCGGGCGTGGAGAGCGAGCGCGCGGCGACTGCGACTACGACTGCTACTGCGACTGCGACGGGGAGCCGGGAGCTGTACGGAGCTGTACGGAACTGTACGGAGGTAGCTGCTGGCGAGGCTGGTATCCGGGGGGCCGCAGAGCGAAATCGGGTGGATTCAGACGGAGAACCAAAAAGTGGTTCGGAAGGGGGGTTTTTCGTCGCTTAGTATGCGCAGGCCGGACCGATGGCGATTGCGATTTTCAGGGGTAAGGCTGAAGAGTGCAGCGGCGACAGCAGCAGCGGCAAAGGCGGCGACATGTAGAACAGGCCAAGGGGCATGGGCGAGCTGCACATGGGCACCAAGAAGTGTCGTGAAGAAAGAGGGGCAGCACAAAAGAGACACAGGCAGAAGAAAGTGTGTCCGGCCCTTTGTTGTGTAGGTAGACGAGGGTTGAGGAGGGAGATTTGAGTCGTCTATGGGAAATGCGACAGGAAAGAGAAAGTGGGAAAAGGTCGTGTTTGAGCCACGGACCTCGACGAGGGGAGCTTCTTGGTGGAGGCCGAGTGAGACGGAGGGGTGTCTTGGGCGTAGGGAGGTTCTGGATAGGTACGGATAATGATAGTCTGATCTGCCCAGGTCGCGTCTGCCGGCTCGGGGGGTGGGTGAAGTCGTATTGTTGCACCAGTTTGCTGCAGGTGAGGTGGTGGTCGACGCGTGGGATGAGAACGCAGTGCAGCAGACAGGGTTGACTACGCACCCAGTACCAAAGTAGGCGATGGAAGTAACGACTGAGAGACAGACAGGTAGGGACGAAAGGTCAAGGTACCTCTCGAAATGAGCGTGCAGCTACTGCTAAGGCAGCCAGATGAAATGAATGGAGAGAAGGTGTAATTACGGCTGGACCGTGGCAAGGGCAGTACGGATAGAGTACCGTGAAGAAAGGCGTAAATGAAGAATTGGATGGGACTAGTACGACTAAAGAGCTAAGGGTCTGAAGGGTCGAGGACAACAAGGGGTCCAAAAGAAAGTAAGGTAAGGTAGGGTGGGCACAGGAAGAGAGATAAGGATAAAGAAGAGAGAAGAAAAAAGTAGTTTAGGTGTAGAGATGTATCCAAGTCGCAAAGGTCGCAAGCTGAAGATACGCAATATTGCGCTTGGAAGACACGCATAAGTTGACAGCAGAAAAAGTATTACGGAGCGGGAAGAAAAGGGGGGGCGGATAGGAGAGAAAGAGGCGACAGTAGGGAACTTCTTTTGCTTGTCATGGAAGTCTCGTCGAAATGGAAGGGAACCCCAACTTTGTGTCTCTGACTGGCAGGGGAGGGCCGATTGGGGTCTACTACGTACCGTCTACACAGTAAGGGAAGGTATCCGCAACGGGTCCATGCCTGCCTGAAAGACCGGGTTTGACAACGGAAGGCACCAAATCATAAATGGATTATTTTGGAAGGGACCAAACAGAAAGTGTCTCCTTCCTCGCCAACTCCAATTGGCTTAGTTAAGCATCAAAGGGATGACTTTTGACTTCTCCCCTCTGCTCATCGTCGCTGGACTTCATCTCGAACCCACCACTTCCAACCAACCACCATCTTTAAACCACCTATCCTCACCCGCCCCGGTCCTGCAGATACAGCTTAAAGCTAAAGCACCTCGCGCCGGCTGCTCTCGGGCCCCCCCTGGATCTTCTCCCTTTTGGGGTCTCGTCTGCGGGCTTAGGGCGAGAATGGAGTCGTCTTTTGGTCTACGCAGCAGACGTCCTTAATAAGGGGGGAAAGAACGGGAATTCTTTAGAACAAGACCAAGGGAGGCGGACGGCCACCGACCAAGTTCCAACAACCATGATGACAATCCCCTCAGCCAATCCTCTGCTTCCAATCGTCTGCAACGCACCCTGGAATCGCTGGGACTGCCGCTTGAGTAGTACAACACAGACCACCATCCATCCCGGTGGAGAGGCACGGAGGCAGAGCACGGGGCATCTGCGTCCTGCAGCAAATCGGTCCCTTCCAAGCCTTCTAATTCGGACTGATCGCTGGCCCAAAGAAACTCTGTTGATGTTGGCCTCTCCAACAGATACCCTTCTCTGCATCTCATTAGCCACGAACTGATGCCTACTAGGAACTAGAGCGGTGAAACTGAAAGGACGGGGCTTCCAAGCTACGGTCACGATTTGACTAAGAATTCAACGAGAACCGTTTTGTCTTTTTTCTTCGCCGTTGAACGACCAAACAAAACACTCCATTCCAGTGCCCCCTAATCCTCCACCATCATGTTACGCCACCCTTTGCCGCTACTGGAAAGCTTGCTAAGGGGGAACAAAGCGACGCCATCTTGTCATTCGCCGTCAGCCCACGTAAGTTCCTCTCGACACTATTTTGGACGCGACAACCGTGCCGAGAAAGGTCAGAAAGAGTCAGGTCAAGACACCGGTCAAGGCACGAAGTGACAAGACACAAAAAGAGAGAGAGAGAGAAAGAAAGACACCAGCCAGGCGGGCGGGCAGAACGTGGCAGGTCCGGGGGAGCAAGGGCAATGAAACGTCCAATGCTGCCGCCGGAGTCCCGGAACCTGAGTAGACTGCACTTGCACGCCACGCTGACTGGACATTGGCTACGGAATCGACTCTCGACGAATCGGAGAACTCAATATACACGAGATATTGAAACTGCCTCAACATGTCTGCGTCGCAAGTTGGACGACATGCGACGAATAAGTTCCGGGGGATGCTGTTGTTTTGAACCATCCATTCACTCAAGTCAAACAAGTGGTTAGTGTCATATTTTGGGACTCGACGTACGCAACGTTCACATTCCTCCAACCTCAACGGCCAAAGGAACAATAATGACTAACGACCACTTACACCCGCCACGACTCAGGTTCAAGAATAGCACCATGGGGGGGATGAGCAGAGTTCGTCCCGTCGGAATGATCTCCGTATCCCACCACCACATGATCGACCATGGCTTTCTGACTTTAGCAAAACTCTGAGCCAAATTCCCACGGCTTGACGTGAACACTGAATGATGCCACCCTAGCTGATTCCCGACTCCATGGGCTGCCAAGTGGAGGTGGCAGAAAGGCTCTCCGAGTCTTGCTCCAACGACATCTGGTTCAACCACTTTAACGTGCGCGGATTACTGACCATCAACAATGTCCATCGCCAGTGCCAGCAAGATCATTCTTCCGAAAGCCACAATGTTTGACGTTTCTCAGCACACGCATGGCGCAATGGGATAAGCAGTCAACGAATCTCAGTGTACACCGTAACTCCACCGGCGGTTCGGCCATACGCTATGACCGTCGTCGAATCCACAACGGCCTGCTTGCCAAAGAAGCCCAGGTGCGGAAATGAGAGTCAAATCAAAAAAGTTCGCCGAATCACCACCATAGAGAGCCGTCCCCCCGAGCTTGAGAATAATCTCTCACCCCAATTTCTCGCTGCCGTTTCCTCCCACTACCCAGAGACTGGTCCCGTACCAGCCGTTCGAACGCGTGGGTCTCTCACCAAACGTCTCTTCTCGGACTCGTTTCCCACCTCTACTAAGTTCGCTATGCATCTTTCTAGAAGTTCTGTTGTTCAGCGAAATAGAGGGGCAACGGTAGGGGTCCTCCTCTGCAAGTGCATGTTATCCGTCCTCAGTAGCATTTGTCATTGTTTCGGACGATGCAGCTCATATTAACCTCCGATCTCTCTCGTCCCATCACATCGCAAATCTGGTCAATGTACTCCGTATTGCGGACCTCAACACTCAATTCCCAGCTCCAGCGGCAGCACCGGGAAACTTTGCTACTGTTCTACATAGTGTAAGGGCCAGACCTCTCAAACCTCAAATAAAGTGCCTGCAGCTCCTAGCGTGCAGTAGAAGGTAAGGTACGAAGTACATAATGCAAGCGTGCAACATGCAGCGTGCATATTCCCCCGCCCTCTCATCCAAGTCCGGTGATGCATAAACCCCCGATTTCATCACTTGAAAGCAGCGCGGTCAAAGCGGAGCGAGTCCTCGAGTTTCCCGGCATGCCGTCTTGGTTCATTGCAAGTTGGATGAACCTCGTCACATGAACGAGAATTCATTCATGTGTCCGTAGGCGAACCCCTCAGTATCTCGTAAATCGAGGCGTTCATCTAAAATCTTCAACGGATCAACATGGGTACAGATAGCTGCGGAGACGTCATCCCAGCACCCAGAAGCTACAGATACCTTAGGTAACAGATACCTGCAGGCTCCACCGCTGCTGTAGAATTTAATCTCAGATCTTCTTCGAAAGAACGTTATCCGCATTATGGGGTGAGGAAACATTGAGGGAATCTCTCTCTCAGGAGAACGGAATCCAATATGGCCCAATAACCCAACGGCCCAGCGGCACCCGGGCGCTAGCTGGCTCCGGTTCACAGCTCCGGGCATAAACGGTGCCTCGGCAGCGTTGAACTGCCCATACACTACGTAAGCAAGTGGAGGGAGTAGGGAGATTACATATCCCGTACGGAGCACACCTCATGTTCTCCCCCGTGACATTTGGCCTTGGACCGCGCAAAGGTTTGCCGCCGCCGCCGCCGCCGCCGATCAGCCCGTCGATGCATATTCGGATTTGGGGCCCGAGCTGAAGCTGATATACACCATTCGGACTGGAGTTCCATCCTCCATACTGTAAATGCTCGCATCTGATGAGCATGCCACCATCGAAACTCAACTACGGGTCTCTGAGAAACGTAGTGACGGTTTCAATAAGTGTATCGAGAATTAGGTTGTCTTTGCGTCTACGTACATGCCTATCGTGATGTGCTCTCAACAGCACACTTTTGTGAAAGGAAACGAAAAAAAGTCCATGAGGGCAAAAGGGGGAGGGAATAAACTCAGGTATACATCGAGGGGGAAGGCCCAGTGTTCGAATCACCGGAAAATTAAACGCCGTTTTTTCCATGCTATCGTAAGGTATAGTTTGTGCCACATTAAACAAGGAATTGAGATGGGTATTGTTCTTTTCTTGCTCTTGTCCTTTTCTTTCTTTCTTTCTTTCTTTTCAATGAAGGCCGGCACCGACGGCGCCCGGCGGCGGGGCATCCAGGTCGACGCCCTCGACGACGGTCCTCTGCTGCGCGCTGTTGCGGACGAGGTTGCCAAAGTACTTTAGCGCGACCTCGCTCTCCTGGCGGACCTTGAGCGTCTCCTCGCGGCGCTTGCCGAGGTCCTTGACGGACTGCTCGAGGCCGACGCGGAGGTTGTCGGCAGGGAAGCGGAGAACCTTGCGGACTGAGCCCGAGATGCGCGTCGAGTTGGTGTGCACGTAGTCGACTGCCTCCAGTTGAGCCGCAATCTTGGTGGAAAGCCGATGGGGCAGAGAGTTGGGGATCTGGTTGAGGATGTAGGCGGCGGCTGCGAATGCTGAAAGGGGGTTTGACGTTAGCTTCATCTGCTACTAGCAAAGAACGAGATTCCAAAAACTTACAAGCTGCAACGATGGCGGGGACAATGAGGCGACGCAAGTTGTCGTTGCCCATAATCTTCGCTGCGCTCAACGCATGGTCCAGCCAGCCGCTGGAACCAATCATGCGAGGAACGAGAGCTCCCGCAACGGTGAGAGCCATTCCCGTGCCTGCC